GCTTTAACCCGCTGCACCCCCAGGGAGGCCCAGACAGAAGAACTTTAATGGAAAGGAACTTTAATACAATGAGTATACAATACAGAAAAGAAAAAAGAATATAACTTCTAAATCAGACACCCAAAGTGACCCGTCCCCTCGTGGGTAAAAGTCCACCCAAAAGCAATTGGCCCAGAGCAAGGCCTGACAGCCTGTCAGGCCGGGACCCATAGAAAAGGGTCAGAAATGGCCAGACACGTCTGGGAGGAAAAGAACAAACTCAAACATCTGCTTCACCCAGTCCAGGGCCCGACGCAAGCAAAGTTTCTTCACGTTTCTCTGCTCCATGTGGCCCCCTCAGGTCTCCTGGCTCCATCCTGCTTCCTTCTTTCTCCAGATCCTTCTCTTTTCTGCTCAGCTCCACCCTCCTCTGGATGGGCCAGGGAACCTGGAACTCCCCCTTTTCCTGGGGTCCCCCTGTTATAAGAGGAAGACAGCTATGCCAGGGCCTCAGTCTTTTGGGGGTGGGGCCACATGGAGGAATCCAGATGTGATCATTTTTCTGCAGGGTGAGATCCCGGCTGGTTTTAATTTGATGTTAATGCGGGGGAGGTGTTTCAGGGCCTGCCTGCTCCGTCTGGGCTCCTTTTCGTCTTTTCGGCAGAATCCAGGGTCTTGCAGCCCCCGGGTCTCTCTCACAAGTTTCTCTCTATTCACAGACAGACAGCCCCGTCCCGTAAGGGAGAAATGAAATTATTTAGCAAAGTGCCATCTCCCTGGTTCGGCAGTCCTATACCACACTACCAGTCTAGTCAATTGCCCAATTTGTAGACGTCAGTGAACGTTAATTATAAATATAATTATGGCAAAATTATATTTGCCAATTCACTGTTAACTGCTCCTTGCAATTTCTTAACTTTTGGCATTTTATTTTTGATTTGATGAGCATTTCACAGTGCTGGCCTTTCCTACTCAGAATTAAAGCCCCCCTTCGTGATTCAAATCGAAGAAGTAACATTAGTTCTGTGGGAAGGCCTGAAAGATGACCTGTCTTGTAGATCTGTGATTTTTTTTTAAAAGAGATTTATTTATTGATGCAGACAGAACTGGGGTACCGGCCAGAGGTGCAGGGGTGGGTGAGAGGATTCACTAGAGACAGAGTGGGGAGCAGAACAGGCCAACTGACGAAGTCCACTGCTGAGGGGAGCAGCGGGGAGACAGGAGGGGTCTGCTGTGCCCTGGGGGTCCCCTCCGGGGCCGGGGATCGAACTCGCACTGAAGCGGCTGCGGCCAGCTTGCAGTGATGCGTCGTAACCCATTGCGCCACCAGGGAGGGCCAGATCTGTGATTTTTTTTTAAAAAAGTCATTGATTATCAGCATTGGAGAAAAGTCAAATAATTACCGAACTTGCGTCGGGAGAGAGGGGTGATGTTATACCCCTAAATCATAGACAGTGTTGGAAATCAATGTTATTTCAGGGAGTTAGCTGTAAAAGATGGAGTCAGAAGCCCTGGAAAAATTATGTTGGCAAGTTTTATCGGTAGTTAAAGCAGATTAATAAAACAACGAACGCTCAATAAATATGCACATCAGCTGCATATTTTTTCCATAGTTAAAGTGTAGTGAAGCAACTAAAGCTGAAATATCTGTACAAGAAATAAATGTACTAAAAATAAAACTCAAGTGAAATAAAGGTGATTTTCAAGCAGGGGTCTCCTCACCTTTACCGTGAGGGTGACAGACGGTCACTAGTGAACACCCACATCTCCACAGCCTGCTGGCAATACCCCAAAAAGTTCTTCAACATGCAAAGTGCTTCTTTTAGAAACCAGGTCAGTTCACCGTGATCACGTGAGTGCCAGCCAGAGTGAATCCATCTTCACGACAGCCCCTGACATCACACTTGTTTTTGGCGTGGAAGAATTGGGGTGCAGGTAGAGGTGTAGGGGAGAAAGCGTTCACCAGAGACAGAGTGGGGAGCAGTGAAACCCACTGCTGAGGGGAGCAGTGGGGGAGACAGGAGGGGTCTTCTGTGCCCTGCGGGCCACTCCCTGGCCAGGATGGAACCCAGGCCATAGAGGTGAGAGCCTGATATTCACCCCCAGGCCACCAGGGATGCCTGGAACTTTAGCCGACAGTGTCTTAGCAAATCCTTGTGGTTGATACTGATAGAACCCCATTTCCCATCGGATCGTACATTTTTAAAAAGATTTATTTACTTATGCATACAGAACTGGCATACAGGCCAGAGGCTCGGGGATGAGAGGCTGACTGACGAAGTCCACTGCTGAGGAGAGCAGTGGGGAGACAGGAGAGGTCTGCTGCGCCCTGGGGGT